TAGGGATTTTGTTCAATTATCAACATATTTCCTCCACTCCCTTTGTAGTCTTTGGCTCTCCAACAAGGATTGCCAGATAAAACTACTGTGATGGTGATTTTGGGGGGAGGTGGGCTGCTTTTATTTTAGTGTTACATACTTTTCTTTGCTAGATACATTCTTAAGAGGATTCTTACAACCAAAATAAAATTCAGAATTTTAGGATGTTTCAGGAATCCATATCTTTTACCATTTTAGTGTCTTAATCTTTTCGTTTAACTTAGTTCATTGGAATGTAACATACAATACCTGAAGTCTAATTTGTCTTAGACCAAAGAACACTGTTCTTTCTTAAACTAAAAAGCATTTCTTCAGACATTTTTTCAATCTTTTAAGTTTTCACTACTTAAAAGGATAAAAGATTTTGTTTTTCTCAAAATAAAGTTTCCTTATTTTATTAAAAAGCAAACTATGCTTAATATAAGAAAACCAAATACAGAAAGCAAAAAGATAGATTCATAATTCTACCTATTTACTCATACTCTCTCAATATTTGTGGGGTTCTAAGTTTTCTGCAGTACAGCGTGGGGAGAGAGGGTAACAATGTTTTGAAAACATTTTTGTGTTTAAACATTTGTGTTTAAAAAGTGAAATGAGGCTGTATATACCATTTAATAATTAGGCCTTTCATGTAATATATTAGGAACATCTTTTTTTCTGTTAACAGGTAAAGTTTTGTCTACATCATTTTTTTGCATCCCATTGTACCATAATTTGTTTAACCAGTTTTCCATTGATGAATATTTAGCTTGTGTTCAATTTCCGGTACTAAAATCTTTTTATACATTCATCTTTTTTGCTTGTCTGATTAAATTCTCATTGTAGGTAGCTTAAATTCTCAAAGGTAGACTATGGGTCAAATGGATGCCCCAATTTGCAGTCCTGTCATTTGTTTTAATGTCTCTCCTCCACTACTTAATTGATGCCATGTATTCCATTATGTTAAAAACTATTTTACATTATGGAAAAAAATGTACCTTAGTTCTCCAACCCCTTTGTTTAGATCAAAGTTTTTTTGTTTTTTGGGTTTTTTTTAACTATAGAATTGTTGTGTTGCAGTTATGACAAATAGTCCTAGTGTTTAAGGATGTTAACCCCAACTTGAGATGGAATTCAGGCTCCTAGGTATAAGTCAGTATGTTAATACCCAACAATAGCTTTCTTATTCTTGTCTCTGTGTGTAGTAGCATCATCAAAAGAAATGCTTGGTTAGGAACAGTGCCTCATGCTTGTAATCCCAGCACTTTGGGATACCAAGGTAGGAGGGTAGCTTGAGCTGACGAGTTTAAGACCAGCCTAGACAACATAGTAAAATGCCATCTCTACTATATGTATGAAAAAATTATACAGGCAGGGTGGCACATACTTCTGTAGTTCCAGGGACTTAGGAGGCTGAGATGGGAGGATTGGTTGAGCCCTTGAGACCAGGAGATTGAGGCTGCAATAAGCTGTTATCGTGCCACTGCACTCCAGCCTGGGCAAAAGAGCAAGACTCTGTCTCAAAAAAAAAAAAAAAAAAAATTCAGAAAGATAAATGCTTGTAGGTATGTGATTAAAATATAGATCGACTAAAACATATATTGGCATAATACTACATATTTGTAGTTCACATTGGTTTGAACTGTAATTGCTTTTTTTTTTTTTAGAGGGACAGGGTTTCACCATATTGGTCAGGCTGGTCTCGAACTCCTGAACTGAGGTGATACGCCCACCTCGGCCTCCCAAAGTACTGGGATTGATTACAGGCATGAGCCATCGCACCTGGCTGAACTGTAATTTCTTATTTCTGTTTTAGCATTTTGCAATATGATTCATCAATTACTGCATTTTTTATTTTTAGCTGTAGTCTTATCAAATGGTTGAGTTGCAGTGATCGTTTCTCAAATCAGCCTTAACTTTTACCATTTACTACCTTCTGTAGTAATTGAATTCTAAATGCCTCTAATTCACTAGCTAGTATATTTCCATTAGATGCTGTTATAAAGCATTTATTTAAGAAATAATTAACTAGAATTTCAGAAACAGTCATTCAAATATATGCAGAGAAGTTGAGTTGCAAAACGTACGTTCCACAGTTACAGATGAGCTTTTCATTTTATTTTTCAAGAAAATAGATCACTTTCTCAGAACTCAAGTTGAGCAGGTGACAGTTCAGGAGATGAAGGGTAAAGAGACAGAGTTATCACATTCTTGCTTTCAAACCTTAAATTTGCTTCGTCATAATGTGCCCTCATTCATCTGGTTATTATGATAAAGGCATTTTTAAGGTTATCTTTCAAGCAACATCTTTTTAACCTTGTCTATCATTAGGAAACTTCTGTTGTATTTTTGTTTTGCTGTAAGTTGGTGTCTCCATGTGCCACATGTAAGTGGATATTTAAAACTAGTAATTCAATTATAGTTAATTTGCATAGCTTTTTAGGTGTCTGATGACAGTTTCATGCACAAAATTTTTTTAGAATAAATATCAGTACCTTCACTAAAAGCCTTCAGGAGAATATGGAACAAGTAGAGGTTTACTTGGGTCCATTAGATTATTGGCTTGAAAGTTTTTATAACATAATGTTAATTGATTGTACCATTTAAACCTTATAGTATAAATTTGATTTATTTTACCAGAAAAACAAATTTAGCTTTCTATATTGTGCTGTGGTGAGTGTAATATCCCATATTGATATATCAGTACACTGGCTGATGTGTACCTGGCCAACAAGGTGAAACCTTGTCTCTAGTAAAAATACAAAAATTAGCCAGGCACGGTAGTATTCACCTGTAATCCCAGCTACTCAGGAGACTGAGGCAGGATAATTGCGTGAACCCTGGAGGTAGAGGTTGCAGTGAGCTGAAATTGTACCACTGCAAGCCTGGGCAACAAAGCGAGACTCTGTCTTTAAAAAAAAAAAAAAAAAAGAGAGAGAGTAATGGTGGTAACTAGAGCTAAACATCTAAACATTTGAATAGCCTTTGCACTTTTAGAATGGAGTTAGTTAACCAGATTTTCTTAAGGCAAATTTAAAGAGTAACTTAAAGGTTAGAGGTGGGGATAGCATGCCAGAGGGGTTAGAGGGAGGGTTATGAAAGTACGTATAGAAGAATAGCATAAAAACTCAGAGATAAAATGGGAAAAGATAAAACAAAAATAAAATTATTGAATGGGAACAGCTTAATAGTAGTATTTAAAAAAAATACTATTCCTACAGAAATGTAGCCTATATAAATTTCTAAATGGCCTCTAACCAGAAGAAACCCATACTTTTTTTTTCTTTAAGTTCTGGGATACATGTGCAGAATGTGCAGGTTTGTTACATAGGTATACACGTGCCATGGTGGTTTGCTGCACTCATCACCCCGTCATCTGCATTAAATATTTCTCCTAATGTTTTCCCCCCCAACCCCCCACCCCCCGAGAGGCCCCTGTATATGATGTTCCCCTCCCTGTGTCCCTGTGTTCTTATTGTTCAGCTCCCACTTATGAGTGAAAATACGCAGTTTGGTTTTCTGTTCCTGTGTTAGTTTGCTGATAGTGATGGTTTCTAGTTTCATCCATATCCCTGCAAAAGACATGAACTCATCCTTTTTTATGGCAGCATAGTATTCCATGGTGTATATATGCCTCGTTTTCTTTATTTCAGTCTATCATTCACGGACATTTTGTTGGTTCCAAGTCTTTGCTGTTATGAATAGTGCTGCAGTAAACATATGTGTGCATGTGTCTTTATAGTAGAATGATTTGTAATCCTTTGGGTATATGCCCAGTAATGGGATTGCAGGGTCAAATGGTATTTCTGGCTCTAGATCCTCAAGGAATTGCCACACTGTCTTCCACAGTGGTTGAACATTAGTTCAACCCACCAACAGTGTAAAAGTGTTCCTATTTCTTTACATCCTTTCCAGCATCTGTTGAGAAACCCATGCTTAAAAAATAATAATAAGATTAAGACTTTTGGTTACCAGTTAAGGTCTTGGTTCGTTAATAATGACTTTATGACCAAAAAAAAAGTGACATGGATCTCTTTGAAATGTCTTAATGTGTTGGCCTTCAAATTTTTTATTAGCAAGGAAGTTATACTGCAGTCTTGGTTGAACTGGTTTGGAAATTCTTATAACTCAGTTCCTCAGAAGTATCAACTGACTGTATTGCATTTAGATTCATTCCCTTTCAAAAGCTGCTTAGGAAACAAATCAGTGCTCAGAGCTGTTTACACTTATAAATGCAATTAAAATTGAAAAGACAGTTGGGAAAATCACTGGGATCTCTTGATAATAGCAGTGGTTGTTTCTGCTATATAATTTGAACTGGTGGGGTGAAAAAAAAAATCACTTCAAGAGTTTATAAAATGATATGTGTATTACCAATGCACATTAAGTGAACTATTCACATTATTTTCTAGATTAAAAAGTAATTTTTTTCAAGTATATGAGGTAGTCAGTGTATTATATTCTTTGAAGTTTTTGTTTCCTCTGCTACTGCCACATGGGATATTTTTAAATATGCTTATAAAACAAATGTTTCCAACTGAACTTTAAAAACTAGTCAAGTTTTTAAATTTTAGTATAACTGACATAACTAAAGATATTAGAGGTACATAACTGAATGAGCTACAGTTAAAACAGTCTTCTAGTATATGTTCTGTTTGTAAATTTCTATTTTAAAAATATATATAATCAAGTAGAAATTCATGATTTTCTTTGGCAGATTGAATGATGCCACAGGAATGCCATTTCTGTATCAGCGCCACTGATAAGTTCTTTAGACTAATAGCCCATTAGACTAAATATAGGAGTAACTTCACTGAAAGATGCCTTTAATTACCCATGGAGCAGCCTGGCAGAACTGCACATTCTGGTTCCCTTGCTAGGAGAGAGACCTTGTAAGGGACCTTGAGTGATAATTGGTTTGTTTTTGCTGTTTTAAAATATAATTTTAATTTTCTTTTATGCATTTAACTGCTTTGGAGTACCCACTATGTGCCAGGCATTTTGACATTGAGAATATACATGAGTAAGATAGATGCGGTCTGTATTTTACAAAAAAAGTACATTTTGCCAGAAATACAGGCCAGGAAAGAGGCAATTATAAAATCTGGTGTGATAAACTCAGATGTTTGGGTTAGGCAAGGCTTCTTAAGGGAAATGAGAACTAGACAGGAGGGGATGATAATCATGACCCACATTTGTAGTGGGAATGGTACTGGAGTGAAGCAGAAGGACTTAAGATCTTGTAGGTGCTAGATTTTATGGGGGAGAAATCTGTTAAGATGGTCAGCAAAACATCCAGGATTTCGGGGAGTGAAAAGCTTTCAAGGAGGACACCCAGGTTTCTTCCTTGAGTAGTTGGTGATGCATAGTCAGTAAGAGGATCAGCTTTAGAGTTGTGTGGTGAGAGAGGAAGAGGAGTTAATGTTCAGTAAGGTGAGTTTGGGGAGCCAGTAGGTACATCTAAGTGGAAATTATATTACATGAAACATTAAGAAGAAACAGTGGCTAAAAGACTTTACAAGTCCACATTATTGTTCAGATAGATATCTATTATACTCACCTGTTGTTGAACCTACAGAGCACATCAGAGAATTAGTTATTTAATTACTTTTTCATCTTGTTTTAATATAATTTCTGGAGTTTCTGTATAAATGCTAAAAAGCCTACAAAATTTAACAAATATTAATTATTTTCTATAGCCTAGTTCACAACCTTTTTTATATGCTGAAGAATTTCATATAAATTGGAGGAGAAACTTATAAATTACTATATTTATATTCAACTAAATCATTGTTACATAGAGCTGAGGCAGTGGACTGAGAATGAGACCATTTACTGTTTTGAGCTATTAGCTAACCATCTGTTGACAAAAAGACCTAAAAGAGTTTGCAGAGAATAAGGGAGCTCTTTAAGAAATGTTACAATTAGAAATAGGCAAGTTTCAGGTTTTCTCTGCATACTGGTGTTTCCCAGAAAAGTAAGCATTGGAATCAAATAGCAGATACAACCATTTTTCCTTTGGTGTATAACTTGTGATAACTACTGTTTTTGTCTTATTACCTAAAATGTGTAATAATAAAACTTTTAATAAAGCAGGGCTGATGAGTTTCCTTTTTACGGCAATTTACCCAGTTTTGAAGATGTATACTCTATTAGCAAGTAAAGCTTTGAGAATTATCCTGTACATATTCTAATGTTGCTGGAAATTTGACCTAATCAGATTAATAACTGGTAGAAATGTATACATGCTCACAATTGCAGCACAAGGAACAAGGTGATAAATAAAATGTGTATTAAATTCTGTTTAAGTTTCTAGCAATTTTTGTGCTAATTAGAAGAAATGAGGCTCAGATATTTGAGTTTAACTCGTGAGAGCAGTTGTTTACATGTGTTTATAATATTAATGTGTTTTAGAGGTGTGTTCACATAGCTTGCAGTAACTGTTGAGGGAACTGATAACCAATTTAACACTTGGTTTTGACAGTCTCACCAAGTCCCACCACTGGCTGATGTTATATTTAAAAAAATAAAATTAATATTCACAAGTATGTTAATACTTGATTTCATACCATTAAAGTGCAAATGCTTCATTGTCTTTCTTTTAGCAGACTTTGAAGTTCACGTAATAAAATCACTGTAAGTTCAGTTTTCAAAAGCAAAGGATGAATTACAGAATATATTTTTTTCTGATGAATCAGCTAAAACTTTTTTTAAAACTAGCTCCTGAGTGGCTCTCCACTTACTCCATTTAAAAAGCTAAGCAGATTTAAACTGTTTAGTTCTGGCAGACATAAATTTTCAGGTCCATATTCCTGATTTACCTTCAATATAAAAGTAGGAGTGTTTGACTTTAATAATATGGTTTGAACTTATAAAAATGTGAATATATTCTATATTTTGAAATGTATTTTATATTTGAAAATGTATTCTGTATTTTTAAAAAACAATTGAGGTGGCACCTGCATACATACACTCTTCTAAGTTGGTAGATATGAAAGTAATAGTAATATATCTGTTACGGTATATAATGAATATTTGTGAGTTGAGGAATTACTGGCTATTGGATCTTGACAGATGGAATTTACTGCTATATGAAAAATGATTGTGTATAATGCATTTTTTCTAGGAGATAAAATTACAAGGTTTTAGTAAGTATAAAATGGAAATGTGAAAAATGTTAGATGCCTTTTCTTAAAAAATAAATCTAAATCGTTTATTGAATTTTTGACTTTTGTTAATTTGTAATTTTCTGGTTCTGGTTTATTTTTCTCCAGTAAACATAACTCATAATTTAGGAACATGATTTACTGTGTTTTGGAGGGGAAAAAACCTTGTTGAGCATTTCTGTTATTGAACCTTATAATATTGTAGACATTTTTACAAGTATGTACTTGAGAAGGTTTAATGAAGAAAGCACTATAATGTAAAGGCCAAGAATCTGTAAAGGTAAATTGCTGGGTTCAGTAGTATTTTTTTTTATATTGTGCAGTAACATCTCTGGACTAAGATTAAAATTTAATAATTAAATTCTTAGAAAGGTTCTGCTATTCATAAGAATTTAATATTACTGAATATAATAAGTTAAATTGAAGCAGAAATTATTAGGCCACATTGTATATTAATACTGATATTCTTTAGCATTTTTCTTCTAATTCACAGACTATCAAGGATGTTGATTTTACTAAGATTTGTATATTCTTAAAGTGATTTAAAGAAGAAAACACAATTCTTCAAGTCTTCTGTTTCTCTTTTTCTTCCACAGGAGTACCAAAGTCTAATCTCTTGCACACTAAATCCTTAAGGGGCCATAAAGACTGCTTTGAAAAATACCATTTAATTGCAAACCAGGGTTGTCCTCGATCTAAGCTTTCAAAAAGTACTTATGAAGAAGTCAAAACCATTTTGAGTAAGAAGATAAACTGGATTGTACAATATGCACAAAATAAGGATCTGGATTCAGATTCTGAATGTTCTAAAAACCCCCAGCATCTTCTGTTTGATTTCAGACATAAGCCAGAAGAAAAATTACTTCCACAGTTTGACTCCCAAGTACCAAAATATTCTGCAAAATGGGTAGATGGAAGTGCAGGTGGTGTCTCTAACTGTACACAAAGAATTCTGGAGCAGAGGGAAAATACAGACTTTGGACTTGCTATGTTACAAGATTCAGGTGCCACTTTATGTCATAACAGTGTATTGTGGCCTCATAGTCGCAACCAGGCACAGAACAAAGAAGAGACAAACTCTAGTCCAGAGGCTAATGTCCAGACCCAGCATCCACATTACAGCAGAGAGGAATGTAAGTAAAATGGGCAGAAAAGTAAAAGTTGGGAGGTTTGGGGTTTTTTTACATTTGTATAAATGTATAATGGCTCAAGAATTTTGCCGTGGAATTGTAGATTTGGTAAACATTGTATTTAAATAACAGGTTCACCTTAGCAAAAATGAGATATCTTAAAACTTTTCATTCACTGGAATTCTCCTATGTTCTAAGCATTGAAGTTAGGCAGTTTCCATGTTTGTTGTGCCATTTAAAATGATTACGCTAAACAGAATCAACAAACTGAATTGGAACGTCTAGGACTCGTATAGTGTAGTAGTACAGCTTTCTCTATTGGCTAATACATATTGTCACATTACTAATCCCTACAATACTAATTGACTGGTGGTGGCATTTCAAAAGCAAAAATCTGACATTTTACTAAAGGCCAAAGGTAATGTGTGCAGTTATTGTAAAGTTAGAAGGGGTGACTCATTCTGTCTACATCTGTTTCTACAAAAACTTAGAGAAGCTGAGGTGATTTTGTCTTGAAATCATGATTTCAGAGCCGGAAGGAACCTCTGGTATCTTTTTAAGATTGTATATCTAGATAGACAAATTGCTTTTTCAGACTGCAGGTTATACACTGTGTAATGCTTAATCAAAATAAGCTTAATGGGTAATAACTAACACTTTTTTAAAAATTAAAACAGAATAGGAAATAACAGAATTCACTGGACCTACTACTAAGTATTTTTTGGTGAAACTTTTGTTTCAGTGAAGGGTGGTGGTATACTGGGAGTGATAAAAAATATATATATGTTTCTGGCCAGGCACAGTGGCTCACACCTATAATCCCATCACTTTGGGAGGCCAATATGTGAGGATCACTTGAGCCCAGGAGTTCAAGACCAGCCTAGACAACATAGTGAGACCCTATCTCTACAAAAAATTCAAAAGTAGCGAGGTGTGGTGGCACATGCCTACGGTTCCAACTCCTAGGGAGGCTGAAATAGAAGGAATCACTTGAGCCCAGGAGGTTGAGGCAACAGTGAGCCATTGATTGCACCACTGCATTCTCACCTGAGTGACAGAGCAATACCCTGTCTCAAAAAAGAATAAAGATAAAATTTTCTTACCATGGGTCGTGGTCAGGATTTGAAAACTTCTACTCTACGCTTAGGAGAGCTAATGGTTGAATACTGGAGTACTGCTGAACGTTGTGTTGGCATTGAGTGCAAATTTTTAAAACTAGGATATTGTGTTGGCAGTGTAAGCAGTGTGTTCCTAGGTTGTTGTGGTAATAGTGAATACATTTTCATGTTTCAGTGGATTCGATGACTCTTGGTGAGGTAGAGCAACTGAATGCAAAGCTCCTACAGCAAATCCAGGGTAAGAATCACTCGCAATGCTTTTTTGTGTGTGAAAATTTTGACATAGAAAATCACCCATGATAGTGCACCATTGGCTTTATCTACATTTAAATTTGGAAATAAGATATTCAAACCTGTTAGAGTTTCCAGAGCAAAAAGAATAAGAAACAATCTTCAGTTGCAGAGGAAATACATTTTTCTTTTCTTTTCTTGTCTTTTCTTTTTTTGGGGGCAACAGAATCTTGCTTTATCACCCAGGTTGGAATATAATGGTGGTGATCCTCCTGAGTAACTGGGACTTACTGGCACGATTACACTCAGCTAATTTTCTATTTTTTATAGAGATGGGGGTCTCTTTATGTTGCCCAGGCTGATCTCAAGCTCCTGGGCTCAACAGTCCTCCTGCCTCAACCTCCCAAAGAGCTGGCATTACAGTTGTGAGCCACTGCACCTGGCCACATTTTTCTTTTCTAAGTGGAAATGGAAACTACAACTTAATCTCTACCTCTTACTAACATTTGAGTGACTATCTACTGTGGCACCAGGCATTACGTGGGCATGCTCCCAAACAGTTCTTTAAAGCATGTGATATTAGTCTTTTTTGTTAATTATAAACAATTTCAAACATCTATAAAAGTAGTGACACTAGTATAATAAACGCCTTAAGCATCTTCAGCAGCTTCAGCTGTCATCAAAGGCATAATAATAATCATCTGTACTTGCATCCATTACCATTGCATCACCTGTAGCATGGATTATTTTGAAACAAATCCCAGGTAACACATTGTTTTTGTCCATAAATAGTTTAGGATTTTCTCTAAAAGTAACTTTTTAAAAAAGTCACAGTCTCATTATCACATCATCTAAAGTTAATTATTCCTTAACAGTATCAAATATATGCTAACACTGACAATTAATGTTCAGATTCCCCAATTGTCTCCTTTTCAATACTTCAGAGGTACTGTGTTGCTTACAAAGATCACGTATCCAGTCAGCAGCAGATTGAGGGTTTAAACTCCAAAGGCTAACCACACAGCCTCTCAGAATAATAAAAATAATCACAATAATAATAGTAGTAGAAACTTATGTGTACTTTACAAATATCTCATTTAATTTTTACAGTAGCCTACTGAAGTGCTTACTATCATTATTGATGTTACACATAAAAGGAAATTGAAGCCAAAAGTTTCTTGCTTGAGGCACATAAGAGTAGGAACAAGGATTCAAAACTCCTGGTAGTCTGATTCCAAAGCCTCTTTGAGGGGGTTCCAGACCAGAATACTAATGGGCTCTTCTTGTCCATAAATCATATCATATACTAATGGAATCTGTTTACAGATTCTAATTGAGAAATGTGGCTCAGCTATAGTAACAACCGCCATTTTTGCGGTGCATCTCTGTAGTCATTGGTTATGACTGAAATTTCACTTGATAGAGACAGCCAAATTCCAATTGACTGTGTAAAGTATACAGAATTCCCAGGATGATCAGAACCAACATGCTTTGTAGAGAACACAACTATTTATTTGGTGTCAAATCAGTTTCATTGTGACACTTTGCCCAATGCATAGATTTCAGTTAGAGTTCTTGAAATTTAAATTATAGCATTGGCTTTCTGCATACTAAAAATGAAACTTTTTATATCTTTTACAGAAGTTTTTGAAGAGTTAACACACCAAGTACAAGAAAAAGATTCTTTGGCCTCACAGCTCCATGTCCGCCACGTTGCTATTGAACAGCTTCTGAAGAACTATTCTAAGTTACCATGTCTGCAAGTAGGGCGAACAGGAATGAAGTCACACCTACCCATAAACAACTGACCTAAACAGACCTGCTTCGTATGCCCTACCCTTTATTGGTCTCCCAGACGTGCAAACTTTGAAGAAGTTTGAAGGAAGCTGTGGTCCATTTTTTTATGGTCATTAAATTTGCCAAACATGAGGCAGTATTTAACATCTTTGTCAAATAAAGCAGATCATTATACTCTAGTCTTCTAGGGCTAATCATTTTGGCTCATTTGGGGACTCTTTTTCCTGTAATTACTAAACAAATTTTATTACATGTGACTACCTAAATATACTGTTACAGTGTCATTTTATTATATGTAATTCACCTGTCAAAACAACAGATTAACAAATTCCTTAGTCTAAACTAAAGATAATTTTTAAGAGGGAAATGGAATTCATATCACCTCTTTATTATGAGCAATATTTTAATATAAAAATTTTATATGTAAAAATGCTATTTTAGGTACTTTGCCATTCTCTTTATAAATGTGTATTTGAGTGGCTCTGTATATTTATTTACACTATCATGTGACTATGTTCACCCATATTTCAGGTCACTGCATTTTATTCTCTTAATACAATGTTTTTACAACTGTACCCTGCTTTCCAAAGATAAATGTATTTTGGATTAGAAATCAATTTAGTTGAGTTGTTTTAACTTCTAATAACTCTTATAAAAAAGGTATTAATAACTTTTTAAAGCAAGTACTGAGGTAAATAAAATACATTATTTTGTTTTCTAACAAAAGCAGTTCTGAGTTAGTTCAGGAAGAAAAGACTAATCTGGCTTTTTTGTCAACTTGTCTCCATAGAAAAGAAAGCCTCCTCTACTTCTTTCATTATTAGCTTCACACCAATGACTGTGATGCATTAGAATTTGGACAGAGTAAGTCAAGCCTTACTTCCAATTCAAATACAATGTCTATCTTCAAATTGAATATGCTGTGAAATTGTTCTGTCTTTGAAAAGTAAGGCTATTTTGTGTACCATTTTGGGTAAAGTTTCAAGAATACTTAAACTGTCTAAATTGTATTATCACCATCATTGAAATTAGTGCTCAAAGAAAGCATTGTGAGGTATTTTCCTAAAGTTTAGAATCTAAAGAGAAGTAGAAGAATTGCTTGACAGAAGAAAAGCAAAACTCCTAATTAAAAAAAAAAAAACTTGAGCCTATGTATTAAGAGAATGTTCTCGTAAGTTACCTATGATGTTTCCAAAGAGTTTTTATCTAGCAGATTGTCTCAAACAGCTAGATAAGTTTTAGTAATGTATTAGAGTACAAACGTTACGATGCAGAATTAAAATGGGCTCTAAATTCTGTTTTTAACTTGTGTTTAGAATGCATTTATGAGGTAGATCCTTTGCTTGAAAGTATCTACAGAAAAGCCCAGTAACTTGGCAGCTTCATGCATAAAGCTATAAATGACATTTGCCTTAAATTTGGCAGCCTACCGTGGCTTGGGTTAGATTTTATTCTTGAACACAAAAAATACTTAGCTAAGCAAAGGAACACTTCAGTCTAGTTGAAAACAACTTTTTGTGATGCTAAAGTGTTAAATTGGCTTGAGGATATTAATTGATATTCATTGATTTTGTTTTATTTTTCTTTTTAAGTATAACATACTTTTTGGAGGGAATTTTTAGAAAGATGCTTTCAGTTTCTCATTCTTTGAATCATGAAAAATAAATTTAAAATCCAGGGAGTATGGATATACATTGCCTTAGTTTTGATGAGCTTTAAATTAAATGTGTGCAATATCAAAACATTTGAACTTACAAGTTGGGTAAATACATTTCCTGATTATGCCAGTATCTTAGTGCTTAATTGTTCCCACATTTTCAAATTTGACTTACTCTTTTTTGGCATAATTCAGTAAGAATTATAAGAAAATGTAATTACCAGCCAGCCAGTGTGTTTGCACACATTTGGGTTTGTGTTTAGATGAGTTAGAGATAGTCATAAAAGTTGGGGATATGTTGCCTTTGATATCAGTAGTAGCATATTTCCAGAATATGAGCCATAAGTTGCAGTCTTGAATACAACAGTGTTATCCAAAGAAAGGAGTTTTCTGACAAATATATAGCTTTACTAATGAGTATGGAACAATTGGGTGAGAGCGTGCATGTACTGAGGTCTTAAGTGAGGACTCTGATTTATTCCATTTAGATATTTCTACTTAAGCTCTTCAAAGGAGAGGTGCTCTTACAATTTTGCGGTGCTGGTACTCACACTACTTTATTTGGATGAGTTTTTAGTAAAAACATTTTTGTTGAAGTATTTTGCACAGCAGTTTATCCAAATATTTGATAAACTTATAATTCAGTCCTGTGTTAGTCTTCTTAATCAAATATGCAATTATTATGTAAGCAAATGTAAGTATCAGGTACAGAGTTGAGTTCCATCAGAACATGAAACATCACAAATATTGGTTTCTGTACTTGGCTGTTCTCTACAGTTGTTAGTAATTTTTGAGGACGTTTTGAACCAAATCTCACGTACTACTGTTTAAAAAGTGGCAAAACAGACTGCCAGTTGTCCATTATTAAAATTTCAGAGCTTATATGACTAAGGGGATTGAGATAAGACTAATCTTTTTCAAGTTCAATTTTATAATTAGACCAGTCAAATTGATTTTAAAAAATCAGAAAAGTGTTTTTGATCATCAGACAGGGTTGTTCTCTTTAAAGTTTTAAATCTGTTCAACCTTACAATTAAGCTAAAAATCAATTATGTTTACTTTGGAATTATCATCTTATCCTTTGATCCTCATATTAATATCTAAATTAGTCTTTTTTGAA